ATACAGTATGTCATGTCAGAGGTACAGTGTGTCACAGTCAGAGGTACAATATGTCATGGTCAGAGGTACTGTATGTAATGTCAGATGTACAGTGTGTCATGTCAGATGTACAGTGTGTCATGTCAGAGGTACAGTATGTCATGTCAGAGGTACAGTATGTCATGGTCAGATACAGTTTGTCATGTCAGAGGTACTGTATGTCGCAGTTAGAGGTACAATATGTCATGGTCAGAGGTACAGTATGTCATGGTCAGAGGTACAGTATGTCATGGTCAGAGGTACAGTATGTCATGGTCAGAGGTACAGTGTGTCATGGTCAGAGGTACTGTATGTCATGGTCAGAGGTACAGTATGTCATGGTCAGAGGTACAGTATGTCATGGTCAGAGGTACAGTATGTCATGGTCAGAGGTACTGTATGTCATGGTCAGAGGTACAGTATGTCATGGTCAGAGGTACAGTATGTCATGGTCAGAGGTACAGTATGTCATGGTCAGAGGTACAGTGTGTCATGGTCAGAGGTACTGTATGTCATGGTCAGATACAGTATGTCATGGTCAGAGGTACAGTATGTCATGGTCAGAGGTACAGTATGTCATGGTCAGATACAGTATGTCATGGTCAGAGGTACAGTGTGTCATGGTCAGAGGTACTGTATGTCATGGTCAGAGGTACAGTATGTCATGGTCAGAGGTACAGTATGTCATGGTCAGAGGTACAGAATGTCATGTCAGAGGTACAGTATATCATGGTCAGAGGTACAGAATGTCATGTCAGAGGTACAGTATATCATGGTCAGAAGTACAGTATGTCTTGGTCAGAAGTACAGTATGTCATGGTCAGAGGTACAGTATGATGTGATGTGTCATGTTTTTATTAAAAAATTATTTGAATTTAAACTTATTTGGGTTGGAAATACATGAAGTAATTACACTCTCACACAGCAACACACAACATGCCTTTTGTTTTCTGGTAAAATTTTCAACAGAATATGGAAATTTAGGTTTCTTTAAGAATAGTAATATATTATAATATCATAATGATTAAATAGGATCTGAAGGTTTTTAAATTCCTTGAATTATTAGCCCCCAAATATGGTCAAAATCCAAATCAGTCAAATGTCATTATGTGAACTTGAAAATATGAGGCTAATATTTCAATCATTATATTGGGTCTACATATTCTCCTAAATGACCTTTCCACTTTCCATGAACATGGTCTATGAGCTTGAAACCTGTGGGTTTAATTCCCAGTGATATAACTAGAACACTGTTGAAAGCAGCGTTAAACCCAACTGATTCATAGATATCAGTCATTCTCTTGGAAATCAAGTGAAGCATGCCAACGGTTGCCAGTCTCGGTACCCCATGTTCATGTGGCCTTGGACCACCCCCCACCCCCCAAATATATCTGAGAGTTCTGTGAATTGTCTTGTGGGGAATTGTCCATGTGGGGAATTGTCCATGTGGGAATGTCCATGTTGGAATTGTCCATGTTGGACTCACTAACTGTTCTCAAAAATATTCCCACTGCTGTGATTTGAACCCTACATCACATGACATTTCACTGATGACTCTCAACCAGCCACCATTTTGGCCACTGGGGCCTCATGAACAAGGGGAAATGTCATATTGTGGAGCAATATAAGTTATAACAGGCAGTGTGTGATCAAATATGTTGTCTTTCTGTACATTGTTGAAAGCAGACATGAAGAGAGTCTTGTGTTTTTCGTGAACAAAAGTGTGATCATAGTACAAAGACATCCTTCAAGTACATCTAAAAGTATTTAAAAAGTCGGTTTCATTCAGTGAATAAAACACTTTCCCTCTTGCTTTCATGGCATTTAAAACCCTCATATTCTTCAAATAAAACATGTGTCAGTTTCGCATAGCTGTGTTTTGTAGCAGTACACATGGCTGAAGTGTTTCTTCTTCTCCTGACACTTATTTTGTATTTTGAATGCATTTCATGTTCTATTTCAGTTCTGTCCAAAGATTTTATTGATGTCTCGGGTTCACTCGGAATCTAATCATCCTAGTTGCCAGAAATATGGCCACCCACGGACGTATATATTCTATATACGTCTTTGGGCCACCTCAGCTGACCGAACTTCACTCCTGGTTCATCATCAAACACAAAATAACCATGAACTTGCCCCAAGAGATTTTACTACTACTTCTTCTACTTACAGGGGGACGTATATTTCATCCATTCACACAGGTTACCATGTCTCTCTGTCACACACGTTTCTAACCTCTGCAATAGGGTTCAACAAGTAAGCAGGTTTCTGGAAGTGACCTTGAGATTATTTTGCAAGTCCATTTGGACGATGGTGCTCTGTTCGAAGAAAGAACTATGTTATCAATCCTGCCATTGTCAGGAACTTAGCACATAACAATTTGCGTTTGTTGCCAAACACTTGTCTTTATTGAAAAGGTGTCACTACATGATTTTGAGGTTTGTTTTTTATTCGCCAGCAACGTATTATCATGATATTAGTATGCTTCAAAAGTGGGGAGGGCGTGCGTATGTCCAAAGGTCCAAAGCTCTTTGAAAATGTGTCAAATAGCGACGACCTTGTCTACACACCCAACTTCCTGTTCTGCTAACTTGGTGTGGTGTAACGTGGACATGGCTGGGGAGCGCCCAATAGTCCTCTCGTGTTCTTAAATATTTAGTTATCCACTTACCTGGCTGTGGAAGTCACAAGATCCAGTATGAATGCGAGGTGCTTCTCGTCGCGAAGCAGTGCACCCACATGCATCACGACTTGTGGTCAGTCAAAGAGTTACGACAATGTCGAGAACAAACCTCACCCAGGCAGGATTCTTGTTCATGTGTGGTGCTTCCAAACTTTCTCAAAGCGCTACTAAATCAGAGATTCTCATTAAGATCATACAATCATACATTAACTCATCAATCGAAAAACACACCCGCATGAAACATGGAAACGACAAGCTTTGCACATTTGCTTCAAGCTACCGCGCTCTTTTGACAGGTATCATTTACCATCAGAATAGGTTTTTTCTCTATTCCCCCATTGTGTTGACAAATGAGACAGAAGGCAAGTATTTGTCACACTTTAATGCCATGTAGAATATATCAATGAATGTATTATTTTGATCTTCTTGAATTAATTCATATGTTAACGTACTCATCGACTAATTACAAAGTTTTGAGTTGATCATGTCTGTAGGTATTGAGTTATTGTTTGTTGTTTAACGCCGCACTCAGCAATATTCCAGCTATATGACGGCGGTCATAATCGAGTCTGGACCAGACAATCCAGTGATTGACATCATGAACATCGATCCATGCAATTGGGATCGATGACATTCATCAACCATGTCAGCGAGCATGACCACCCGATCCCGTTAGACGCCTCTTACGACAAGCATAGTCGCTTTTTACGGCAAGCATGCGTTGCTGAAGACCTATTCTACCCAGGATCTTCACGGGTTTATTGAGAGTGAATTTGATTGAATAATATTTCAATTTTATGACGGCGTGTCAGCTTGATGTGAGAGGTAAGCCAAAAGTTTTAGACGTTTACTACCAAAACTGACGTGCAAAAGAAAATACACTTATTTTTTATTGTGGCTAAAAATGGTTTTCATAGTTGTGTTTTGGACCTTAAGTTTGCAGCGTTCCGACGACTGTTTTACAGCCCAGTACCGTTTTGATAACGTTTGTATTTTGGTGGTCAAATCCAATTTTCAAGTGTAAACTTTTCTTTGCCCTGCAGTTTTGTTAGTTGTTTCCAGAGTTCGCTCTTCACGACCAGGTTTCGATTCCACACAATGAGTGTCGTCATGTCTGGTGTCCTGTCGTGGAATATTGCTCAAAGTGGCTTGAAGCCCAACTTGCGACCACGGGTATGGTGGTGAAAAAACTGGAAACATTACCAGGGCGAACTGGGATTTGAACACACGAGCGAAGGACTCATCTTAGAGAGGTGGGGCAATCTAGACTTGCTCAATCATTCTAGACTCCTTTTTTTAAATTTATTCTCTAGGGTCTGGGAGACGGACTTCCATGCCATAAACCCGCACACTTGACTCTGAGATAAATCTTTCGCCAAAGCTGGACCACTACTGTGAAATGGACTTCCGAGTCACATTCAAAACATCTCAGACAGCCCCACGTTCAAGAAAAATCTCGGAGGCACGGGTGGCCATGTCGTCTAAGGCGCTGCTATTCGCTGTGCAGAGTTGCGTCCCCTGGGTACGCCAGAAACCTATGATTTGGAGTTCGAATCCCGGTTCGCCCCGATTGTGTTTCTAGGTTTGTCAGCACCAAACCCGTGCTCAAGGGTTTCACCGAAGTGGTAAACGCCGGGGACCCGCATCACTTCGGGCTTTCCTCCCACATTAAGCTGACACGCCGTGATATAACTGGAATACTGTTAAAAGCGGAGTTAAACCCAACTAATTCACTTACTCAAGAAAGATCTCAAAACAGTTCTCTTCTGCACAGCCTTTGACCAAGCAGCTTTTTCCGGGTGTTTCCTTCCCTTATATTGCTGAAAAATTTCTAAAAGCGGCGTAAAACCATACTCACTCACTCACCCAAGCACCTTTGAGTGAGTGAGTGAGTATGGTTTTACGCCGCTTTTAGCAATATTCCAGCAATATCACGGCTGGGGACATCAGAAATGGGCTTCACACAACGTACCCATGTCGGGAATCGAACCCGGGTCTTCGGCGTGACGAGCGAACGCTTTAACCACTGGGCTACCCGACCGCCCCAAGCACCTTTGAACAAATGTTAGAACAATACGCTTTATAACAATGAAATTTATTTTATCAGCACATTTTAGAAATCGCTGTGAACGTTATAACACTTTGTTCGTTTAGAAATGTCGCACCAATCTATTCACTCTGATTTATGTCTCTAACTTTTCACCAAATCTGATGTTTGCTTGCACAGCTCAAATAACTTGTGGTCTGCCAGGTGCATCCTGGGCAATGTCACGTGCAGTCCCTGCAATTGCTGTAGAAGCAGGTCACATGGCACTCAAAATAACAACAACACGTGCTGGGGGCCCAACAGACGCCATGCCGGACAAATTACCCATATAACATTGAATTTGTTATAATTCACAGGTATGTTTAAGTCGGTGCTGATTGAATGCTGAACAAGCAATAATAGGTTTGTGTTCAAATATGGATTATATTATAGATAATTCTAGATACTCGTTGTTATTTTCATTATTGAAGGAGCCATATGCTGTGGGGCATTTAGAATTGCGTATGAGAAGTATAATTTAGAAGTGAATGTTTCCTAAATTACATGTTATGACACACCGTGCCGGACTGGACTTTATAGTTTATGTATGGAGCTTCTGCCCGGAGAAGGTCGGTATTTCGATCCCCTGGCCGCGTCATACAAAAGATGGTACTTATTGGGATGAATGGGATAAAACAAGAACTGGCCGACTCTGTTTCTACAGCGTATATGAAAGGAGATTTTTGATGTCCATGCGTCTTTCACGTGTCGCAATCAGTTCGCATGTCGTGTGATACCGCCCCACACCAGGGCACTACCGCCCCACACCTGGACGCTACCGCCCCACACCTGGACGCTACCGCCCCACACAGGAGGCTACCGCCCCACACCAGGACACTACCGCCCCACACCAGGACACTACCGCCCCACACAGGAGGCTACCACCCCACACCAGGACACTACCGCCCCACACCAGGGCACTACCGCCCCACACCAGGACACTACCGCCCCACACCAGGACACTACCGCCCCACACAGGAGGCTACCACCCCACACCAGGACACTACCGCCCCACACCAGGACACTACCGCCCCACACAGGAGGCTACCACCCCACACCAGGACACTACCGCCCCACACCAGGACACTACCGCCCCACACAGGAGGCTACCACCCCACACCATGACACTACCGCCCCACACCAGGGCACTACCGCCCCACACCAGGACACTACCGCCCCACACAGGAGGCTACCACCCCACACCAGGGCACTACCGCCCCACACCAGGACACTACCGCCCCACACCTGGACACTACCGCCCCACACCGGGACACTACCGACCCACACCAGGACACTACCGACCCACACCAGGACACTACCGACCCACACCAGGACACTACCGCCCCACACAGGAGGCTACCACCCCACACCAGGACACTACCGCCCCACACAGGAGGCTACCACCCCACACCAGGACACTACCGCCCCACACCTGGACACTACCGCCCCACACCGGGACACTACCGACCCACACCAGGACACTACCGCCCCACACAGGAGGCTACCACCCCACACCAGGACACTACCGCCCCACACCAGGACACTACCGCCCCACACCGGGACACTACCGACCCACACCAGGACACTACCGACCCACACCAGGACACTACCGACCCACACAGGAGGCTACCACCCCACACCTGGACACTACCGCCCCACACCAGGACACTACCACCCCACACAAGGACACCACCGCCCGACACCAGGACACTACCACACCACACCTGGACACTACCGCCCCACACCAGGACACTGCCACACCACACCAGGACACTACCGCCCCACACCAGGACACTACCACACCACAACAGGACACTACCGCCCCACACAGTGAGTGAGTGAGTTGGGTTTAACGCCGCTTTAACATTATTCCAGTTATATCACGGCGTGTCAGCTTAATGTGGGAGGAAAGCCCGAAGTGATGCAGGTCTCAGACGTTTACCACTTCGATGAAACCCACGAGCACGGGTTTTGTGCTGACAAACCTAGAAACATAATCGGGGTGAACCGGGATTCGAACCCACAACCATATGTTTCTGGCGTGCCCAAGGGACGCAACTCTGCACAGCGAATCGCGGTGCCTTAGACGACTGGGCCACCCGTGCCCCCCGCCCAAATCAGGAGACTACCGCCCCACACCAGGACAGTACCGCCCCCATACCAATCTTGGTCATGAATTGTTCCCTGACAAACTGCTCGCCGCTACAGATTTGAATCTATTGCGTTGTGCAATCAATGTAACGATACAATCTTGATGCCACACGTACCAAATGAACGTGTGTGCAAGTCTTAGAAGGTACCGAATGGGGTTATAGAAACATAAGAATTGACTTTCACTGTGTGCGAGTGGTTGGTTTTACGTCGCTTTTAGCAATATTCCAGCATGTGGGGAAACGAACCCGGGCCTTGAGAGTGACGAGTCCTTAACCCTAGGTTACCCCACCGCCCCTACTTTGTGCGAATATCATTGCAGTGTGAGCATTCATAAATAGGGGGTACACATTGTTTGAACTTCGCTATTTTGTGGTAATACCCAGATACATATAACGAAGCAAGTAATTTAGCCCGAGAAAGAATCAAACATGGCTGCAACTGGTAGCTACAGTCCTCTTATAACCAAAGATCAGATGGACGAAATGAATATTCAAACCTGAAAACGAAACTATTTTTATAAGTAGAAATTAGTAGATTTAATTTGTATGAGCCTCATGAGAAATATCAAAACTTTCGTTTCTGGTAACTTTTAAATATGTATTCAGTGGAGGAATATTGTCAGACATGTTCAAATGGCGGATAACTAGGATGGTTTTTTTCTTTCTTTATTTGATTTGGTTTTGCGAGTTTTGGACATTTTTGACATGACTAAATATATAGTCAGTGAAAAAGTATTGTGCGATCTTCGTGAGAATATAGGGGGCAGATCAAAACGGCTATGTCATATTGGTGTGTACCTGATATAGAAATACGAAGTTCAGAATCCAAATTCCTTGTCATTGTTTTGATAGGTCAACAACTACTCACGTGCCCGGACAGACAAATTAGATAGAAATTCTCTCAACATGGACAAAAGGTAACAGTCAGATTATTTGTTCTTTCGAATTTGTTGGGGGATTTGTCTTCTTCTGATAATTTACCTCATCCTTTGTGTAGTTGGAATACAGCTGAGTGCGGCGTTAAACACCACACAACAAAGTGTTCTTTTGTCTCATTTTGTCTCTCTTTTCGTGTGGTTATATTGCTATCTTTGGCTGGAAGTGACAGCTACTATTATTCGCGATACCCAGCACTGGAACATATCAAATGTATAAGAATGTATTCATTGAATAGCTTTAGAATTTAATGCATGTGTACCAATGTGAAAATGCGTTTGAATGACTTTTTTCCCTCTTAACTTTTTACATAATGTTTGATTTAAACAGATACATCGATTTGTTCAGTACATGGGTACAAGAAAAGCGAAACACAAGCTGGGCTCTGTCTCTTCATATCACATAACTTGCGCAAACTGCAGGGATAACCATGAACTTGTTAACGCGTTGTCTTCTCTTACGTCCGCGCGTTTGTGAGGCGTGACGTCACAACGCATCAGCTTCAAGACATGGGTTATTACGTCACAATATTGTGACGTCACAGAACGAATCCAAGCTGTCTTTAGCCATGCTAGAAAATCCCTCAGCAGATGGTAAGTGACTTACTTTGAATTATTTGGCGTATACGTATTTCTTTCCATCCACTTTACTCAATCGTGAAATGTTGGCCTGTTTGTGTATTTATAGTCTTTTCGTTTAGATCGGCAAGAAATTGTTGATTTATGGGACCGTCTTCTGCATACAGATATGGACTCTGGCATAGCCATCCAAACAGGCATAGCCATCCAAACAGGCAAGGTAGGACATTTTATTAAATATATTTTGTGAATGAAGATAGCATCAATATTCAAGCTATATCACGGCGACGATAAGCCCCTCCGTCGAATGTCGTAATAATGTTGCAGTCAACGAAAGATGCATGAAGTATTTGCAGGATTATCTTCAAGAGGCAAGGGAGTTAACTGTCTATAAAATCCACTGGAATCATCGGGAAGATGTTGCAGGATCTCCTTCAAATAAAATAATCACACCCTACCAAAGAACATTATAAAGTCTTAACCCGTGGAGATTCCGTGTTAGAAAAGGTCCCCAGCCAAGCTGCTTGACTTATAAGAGGTGATTAAATGGATCGGTGGTCAGGCTTGGTGGATTGCTTCTTGTCATAACCCATACACGTGCATAGATACTCATGATGCCAGTCCCTGGTTTGTCTAGTCCAGACACGATTATTTTCAGGCAGCCGTGATATAGCTGGAATATTGTTGGGTGCAGCCTTACACAACAAACTTCACGACTCACATGGTCAACTAACCTGGATAACATTCAGAAATGTTACACACGGGTTTCTTAGGTGGTGATAAACTTGTTACATCCTATGGCACAATTTCCAGTACGAATCCGTGCTAAGTAAAACTATTTTGTTAAATGCCAGGATTATTTTAGAGTTAAACCATTAAAAGAATCATAACATGCATTCAGTTTCGATGCAATTCTCATTTTGTTTGTCCCATTTAACATGACGAAGAACGAATTTTCTAAAATCAATTTTATATAAATTCCAAAATTCATAATTGTAATTTATTATTGGCTTCATGAAATAAACAAAGTGTGAAGTGTTGCAAAGTGAGGAAAGAGTTTTGGTCCCATAAAATATTGTAAACCATGTATGAGTGAGTGGTTTTACGCCGCCATTGACAATATTATGGATGGACCATGTGTTACAGCCTGCACTGTAATCATGTAAAAATGCCCGTTGCCTTTCAGTGAGAAGATAAAACATTGGATTATCACAGCGGTCTGTATAATTTGCCTCTTTGCAAACCAGTGGTTGATAGCATGAGCACAGTCCACAAATCCCATGCTTTAACTATGACTTTAAAAAATCGTTATTTTAACATCGCTTTGTGAACATGGTTCGGGAGCCCGTTCCATAAAGCCAGTTTTCCTCAAACTTTCAGACTCGTAGAGCTAAGACCGCTTTGAAGAGACCCTGGACACACATTGGTCGGTTCCAACAAGCACTGGATCTGCTTTGGGACATCAGATTAGAGTTTATCCCTGTCGCGACTAAGAATTGATTCTCTTCCTCATATTTATACATATGAACATGGAAGCACTTAATATTTTAACCCCACCCGACACTAATTGCAATGTTAATCCCTAATCAACACTTGAGTTGACATTAAGTTCATCTCGCTAATGAGCTGTTAGCGTAAATAGGTAATAAACAAAGGTGTGTCGGGCGGTAGGGTAGCCTAGTGTTAAAGCATTCGATCGTCACCTCATATGGGTGCAATTTGTGGTGTCACTAAAATTGACTTAAAACCATACTCACTCAAATATGTTTATTTAGGGTAAAATATAAACTTGAACTATAGATTGTAAAACTCATGATCAATATTTTAGTTTTGTCTCTCGTAGCAATTTACGTCTGTAACAATGCTTAAATAACTTGAGATGATTCAATAACGGCACGCAAGTCGGAGATATTTTTCAGCTAATCAGGGTTTCACTGAATGACCAACTCTTAAATCGTTTCTTTTACAGGGCTACAAGTCGCTCTCGCAGTCACTGCACACGGCTCCTGTCACTATTGGTCAGACAGTGGCCAGATCCACTGACCACAAGCGAAATGCAAGGGGAGGCTTCCATCAAGACACTCGGAGACCAGGTAACGTTCCCCATCAATCACAAAGCAACGAAACGTTTACTGCTGCGTCTTCGACTCGCCTACGACCACCTACCCCGATCTGGGTCGAGGGTAGATACACCCCAGTATTCAACACCTCCCCCAAAGAGGTCAAGCTGGAGACCCCAACACGGGTGGTAGTCTCGAAACCAAAGCCAAAGAAGGCATCGAAAATGATCAGATTTTTCAACTGCGTTAGCCGCCTTTTTCATGTGAGCCGCCAGGAGAGGAAGGGATGGACCCAGCTGTAGCCACCCTGGAACTTTATACTTATGCGCCAAACTGATATGAAGTATATTTTCTATTATTGTCTCAAAAGACAAATGATACAAATTGTTATCGAGTTTTTAGATCATTAAACTTTGTATGAAAAGAAATTGTTCAGCCATCATCGTGGGGACCCTTGAAGATCCGGGTTAGATATTGTACATTTCTTTTGCTAGCTGGAAATTGCTTTTGCGGGTCAACTAACGGGTGGTCAGGCTCGCTGACTTGGTTGATGCATGTCATCGCTCATGTCATTCCCAACACAGACCACAATCAAAGCGTGATGTGGAATTCTGCTACATTGATCCACAGTTTGTTAAGACAACCTGGTAGAATCCACAACACAAGGTTTAATGCATTTTATTAGTGGTTGACTCACCTGAATACGTTCGTAATAATGTACACACGTTTCAACCTCACTAACAAGAGTTCCGTGTGTGGCAGGCAGCACAAATAGGTTTTCCTTGATAAACCGTCTGTATGAATATTGGAATCCGACATTTCTATGTAGATGTTCATAATATGGATAAAAGTACACAAAATATAAAAATATACATACGGAAAGGACAAACCAATATATAATACATTCTGAAAATATCACAGAACATCAGGTGATCATTACACTTTGTGTGACAAATAAGGTTAAGTCGGCATACATAGATTCAATGTCAGCTTGCCCGATAGACTCAGGGCGATTACGTTGGCATACATGCCTGCAAATTATTGGGTCCGACGTAATAAATGGTGTAGTACACTCAACCACTCGTACAGTTTCTAAACATGACATTTATACAACGTGTGATAGATATTTATTACTCTCGTGTTTCTCTATTGTGAATAAAAACAAAGCTCACAATACTATGGCCGCCTATATAAGTGAAATAATTTTAAAGGCGACGTTAAACCCCATTTTATTTCGACTCGCATTATCACTTTTATTCCCAATATGATATTTACAAAATGAAAACTAATCCTCATATTTCATCGCCACTGTTTTAATTCACACATGTCCCAGTGGTAGTAAAACACTGGTGTTTCACACGTTCAGAGTGAGTGAGTTGGGTTTGACGCCGTTTTAACATTATTCCAGTTATATCACGGCGTGTCAGCTTAATGTGGGAGGAAAGCCCAAAGTGATGCAGGTCTTGGACGTTTACCACTTCGGTGAAACCCACGAGCACGGGTATGGTGCTGACAAACCTAGAAACATAATCGGGGCGAACCGGGATTCGAACCCACAATCATAGGTTTCTGGTGTGCCCGAGGGACAACTCTGCACGGCGCCTTAGCCACCCGTGCCCCCGTCACATTCAGAAAGAATTCGAGTGTAGTGTATACAGTCAGGGAATATGTTTTTGAAGTGAAGAGAATATAAATATCCCCAAAATAGCATCTTCCCAAGGCAAGGGAGTTAACTGACTTTACAAGTCCAGTTTCCACCCTTGCCGAACTAGGCTGGAATTTCCGGGCTCGATCGTAGCGCCATCAGTGGTTATTGCGAGTTTGGTCCAAAAGGAGAGGCTCAGAAGGGACATCAGATTCCATCACTTGCATTTGTTTCAAACAAAATGGCGGCGCCCAGTCAAGACGATCTGAGCGATAATCATGATCTATATTGCGATAAAACGGGTCTTACACCGCGAAGTGCATCAAATCACGCGAGCACCTTGATTAAAAACATGAAAAGATTTGGAAACCTGTTGACAACGACTTAAATTGGCGGTGCACATGCTTTGGAAATCCTGCAATCGACCGAAATCGGCACGACAGTTTACGAATTTTGATTGGACTATGCATAGACTCGTTAGTCCAGCCAAAGGTAACTCCAAAATACCAGCCTAGTTCGGCAAGGATGGAAACTGGACTTTTATAGTCAGTAAACTCTTTTACCTCGGGAAGATGCAAATAGACATAGTAATTAATACCACGTGTGAAACTGAATCAGTTTGTTTAATTGAGGACAGTAACTGTTAAAGCGGTACACATAAAATGTGCACTAGCTTACAAAGAAAGTGAAGTTTGAGCGATTTATATCCAATTTCCTGCGACTGCAAATTAGCCCGAGGCAAGTTCCCCGGGGAGGTATCAGCATGGCGAACTGCATAAGTTAACTGCAAGACGAAAATATACAGCACAGACATCAGGAGTGAGTGGGTTGTTTTTAACGCTGCTTTTAACAGTAAATGTAAATGCAGATCTCCTTTGGCCATGAAAGACTGAAAATAATTCGTCAATCAAAATGGCAGGATAAAAGTAAGCTGAAACATGTTCTTGAAAATGTTATACACATTCTTGGTTCACCACAAAAGTATCATAACTACATTTCAGAGTCCCATATTTGTCTTGTTTTGGGGATCAGTCTGCTGTTTGTTAAAAGAAACGTTTTAATAATTATTTAAAATATGCCCTGCATTGTGCAAAGAAGTAAACAAAATTCTAAAAATAGTCTACACACATTTGCTCATGTAAGAGATACAACACCTAGGGCCCTACACTGGTCAGGCATGGCACATATAACTTCTATACAGTTCAAAGTATTCTCCATTATCCAGTGTATACATATCTCATTTATTTAGTGATGAACATCTGTGACACATTCGCCTCCATATCTTCGCTTTGAGCCTCGTTTGAATGACAGACACGTGAAAATAGCCATCCAATCAAATTACACTGTTGTTTCAGAATAAAACAGGAGACGATGGATGTGACTACAACTCGACTCATCAGAGTCGCATAAAGTCGGAAGCATGAGGACTTCCCTCAGAATAATTTCCATCTACAAAAAAACTAACAAGTTCCTTCTGTTTCAGGTTCCACATATCCAGGACTTGCATACACAAGGCCGATATTTTGAAAGTAGGGTTGTTTGGTTTCAAGCGCATGACTAAGAGAAATTATGTGAAAAGTTGGTAAAAAGAGCGAAAGGGCTGTTGACTGCACATGCGCCAAAGCCCTAATGGCGAAATTGTTCATGGTTTTCATCAATCTCACGTTCGGCTATTTCCGTCAAGCCTGGAAAAAAGACTGTTGGCAGACTGAGTTTTCATCACTATAAAATGGAGATATAATACACTGGCTAGTCAAGGATGCGTTTAAACAGCGTTTTACTGTTACACAACTCACCACATAATTTTACTATTTTAAAAACAGATTTGCACTGAGCTCAACACGACAGGTGAGATCGGAAACGGTACTGGTAAATATATTCCAGCAATTACAGTGACATGATTGTCATCAACAGGTATCTCTTTGCTTAAAATATTTCTCAAACTGAGACATGTTCATGTATGTAAGTATATTGTGAATCTAACCAAAGAGTCAAATTAAGGCTGTTTGCTCGGACTGGGACAAACTGTTAATGTTGTACTGTTGCGTAAATCGTGAGGATTTTATTGTGCAAGTGTTGCTCGTTATCTAAAACCTGCCACTGTGGCAGCGTTCAGGCAACATATCAGGTGTGCATATTGCGAAAACATATTGCTGTGAATACTAAATAAATGCAATAAAAAACACTCATGAGCACCACAGTAATAACATAATAACCGCGGTGTATTACTTCTACTGCTCATTAGTTGTTAAGGAAATATTACCATCATTAGCCAGTAGTTGTCAGGGAAATATTACCTACGTTAGCCAGTTGATGCCAGGGAAATATTACCTACGTTAGCCAGTTGATGCCAGGGAAATATTACCTACATTAGCCAGTAGTTGTCAGGGAAATATTACCTACATTAGCCAGTTGATGCCAGGGAAATATTACCTACATTAGCCAGTTGATGCCAGGGAAATATTACCTACATTAGTCAGTAGTAGTCAGGAAAAATACTACATAAATTAACCAGTATCTGTCTGCGAAATGTCACCTGTACCATTGAATAGCAGTGAGGGAAATGTCATCTATACCACTGAATAGTAGACAGTGAAATATATAGTACTTGGGGGTTCAACAGCGCGGGTTTGTCATGGTTTGATGAAAGACAAGCATACCATTGATATGCTGTTTGGGTAATCTCAATTCAAATTTGAACATAAGGTGGGACAGCATTTAAATTCATGTGTGATAGGTTTACATAATTAAATTTATGTTGTCAATTTCAGCATTAACTGTTGATGGCATCTTTAAAACAAAACGATGTTTGTTTGTTGTTTAAGGCCGCACTCATCAATATTCCAGCTATATGACAGTGGTCTGTAAATAATAGAGTCTGGACAAGACAATCCGGTGACTGACATCATGAGCATCGATCCACGCAATTGGGATACGATGACACGCATCAACCAAGTCAGCGAGCCTGACCACCCGATCCCGTTAGTCGCCTCTTACAAGCATAGTCGCTTTTTACGGCAAGCATGGGTTGCTGAAGACCTAGTCTACCGGTCGAAAACAAAATGAAAAAGATCTGATTTATGACACCCTTAAAGCACATGCAGAGTGAGGGAAAGTGAACGATTTAACAGCAGGCAATGTTTATGACTTGTTCGCTTATCAAGCATGGACCAGACAAACTGGTGGTTGACAGCATGAGCATCGATCCATGCAACCACAGCACACTCAATTGGCTTCCCTTCCAAACTCAAACTCATACCATGCAGCCAGTGCTGTTTCAAAAGCAGGCAATCACAGGTGTTGGGTTGGATGTAGTCTGTTTCAGTCCCTGAACAGTATTCTAGCCCTAAATAAAGCAAGTCTAGATTTCCACAGAAAACTTCCATCTCTCTGGGGCTCCTTTACAATTAAAATGAAGAGGATTGTTTCTATCAAAATTATATATTTTTAGAGACTAAGCATTATGAAACTCTGGGCTCTCAGATATACTTTAAAACGTTTTAAATGTTTTCAATTAGATAAAAAGGCAGAGCTGTAAGCTGAATTTTCATTACTGCTGATCAATTCCAATAGATACTTTACCAATTCCTGAAATTAGAAACACAAGTTTCAGAAAATATTTACAAAACTGTTGATCAGTGAGGGAACACAGTACAGTATTGTTTGACTGTCTCAGGGTACCGGTATGTGTGCAATGTTTGAAATGACAGTATGTTTGACTGATGGCACAGGGTGTCAAGATCACACTGCACAACCTCTTAATTTGGTTTGACTGTTGACATAAAAGTGGGACTGTGTGTCAGCTGTAATGTCTGAATGTGTAGAGATTATGTAAGTGGCAAGGACTTGGAGTGAAAGGCTTTGTTGTATGTGCTGATTGAGTGGGGTATAAGACAGACTGAGTGAGTGAGTTGGGTTTAACGCCGCTTTTAATAGTGTTCCAGTTATATCGCGGCGTGTCAGCTTAATGTGGGAGGAAAGCCCAAAGTGATGCAGGTCTCAGATGTTTTCCTCTTTGATAAAACCCACGAGCACGGGTATGGTGCTGACAACACCAAGAAACATAATCAGGGCGAAGGATTCGAACCCACAATCATAGGTTTCTGGCAAGCCCAAGGGAAGCAACTCTGCGTCCTGAGACGCCTTAGACGACAGGGCCACCCGTGCCCCCAAGACAGACTGTGAAATCTAATGCCGTTTAGATGAGTTGTGGTGTGAGTAAAACTTTCATGTAAGTATTTTCATGTCCATGTTCTTTCATACTGAACATTCAATGTTGTGTATGTATTATTTGCATAATGCGTGTATCTGTATGCAGTGATAGGATATTATGCAGAGGTATGGATATTTGTGCAGTCACATATATGGCATAACTATACCTCGCATCTCTCACACAATTGAACTATAAGTGACATATCTCACTGAAGGTTATATGAATGGCCATGTTATAAGCAAGATGTGGTTCCCAGTGTGTTAAAGATGCTATGGAACTTATACACGTAATATCATAACCTTTACTTGACATCAGTCAAAACATTGTTCTAATTATATGAAAACATTTTCACCTTGTTTGGAAGACATTGTCACCGGAAGGCTGGCTCAAAGACCATATACTGATATATCATATCATTGATTGGTATATGATAAATGACCTTATAGGCACTGTTGTATTGCCGTGATGAAGTATTAATATGATGACATAATGTATTAGTACCGGTATGTATTGGTGGGAAGTCATCCTCCCCAGGCAAGGGAGTTAACTGACTGTATAAGTCCTGTTTCAACGCTTGCTGAACTTGGCTGGAATATCTGGCCTCGATCGTAATGCCACAACGTGCAATGTTTGAAATTACAGTTTGGCTGGTGTCACAGGGTAAGCATGATAATAATTCCATAATCAAGGTCTATAACAAAAAACAAAACAAGCTTGTTGGGCAACAAGCTCATTGTGATAAGGTGTAAATAACAACTTTCCCAAACAATATCTAGTGAATTCTACTTGTCATCCCTCTCAAGACATGACAAATATGGATCCTGACTCCCTTGTTCAACATATGACAACACAAAACAGCACTAACAAAAAATAAACAACATTGTCATAGTATCTACAACTGACTATGCATTCAAACACTCACACAGTACATGGAATGTAAATATCTGGTACATATGTACTGTACATCACTGTTCATCTGGCCTTTTGTGACTGCGATATAAAAATATTAAAAACCAAGAATATCGGAACACGGACATTTCAGTGGGAAAAAACCTGCAGTAAGTACAAGTTAATTTAGTTTTGGCTAATTGATAGTCGTTAGTCATACCTCAATTAGTTATAGCTTATTGATAGCCGTTAAGTCATACCTCAATTAGTTATAGCACATTGATAGCTGTTAGTCATACCCCCATTAGTTATGGCTAATTGATGGCCTTTCGTCATACCTCAATTAGTTATAGCACATTGATAGCTGTTAGTCATACCCCCATTAGTTATGGCTAATTGATGGCCTTTCGTCATACCTCAATTAGTTATAGCACATTGATAGCTGTTAGTCATACCCCCATTAGTTATAGCTTATTGATAGCCGTTAAGTCATACCTCAATTAGTTATAGCTTATTGATAGCTGTTAGTCATACCCCCATTAGTTTTGGCTAATTGATAGCTGTTAGTCATACCCCATTAGTTATGGCTAATTGATGGCCTTTCGTCATACCTCAATTAAATATAGCACATTGATAGCTGTTAGTCATACCCCCATTAGTTATGGCTAATTGATGGCCTTTCGTCATACCTCAATTAAATATAGCACATTGATAGCTGTTGGTCATACCCCCATTAATAGTTATGGCTAACCGATAGCTGTTGGTCATACCCCCATTAGTGATGGCTAATTGATGGCCTTTCGTCATACCTCAATTAAATATAGCACATTATTCCAGTTTTATCGCGGCATGTCAGCTTAATGTGGGAGGAAAGCCCGAAGTGATGCAGGTCTCAGTAAGGTCTCTTACTACTTTAGTGAAACCGACGAGCATGGTTATGGTGCTGACAACACCAAGAAACATAATCAGGGCGAACCGGGATTCGAACCCACAATCATAGGATTCCCACAGCGAATCACGGCACCTGAGACTATTATAGTAGGATTTAGTAGGAGTGTTAGTTGAAAATCAGACTGGGCAAACAGAAGTTTACTTGCCCTTCGACAAATGGGAAATTTTGGTATTTGAACACCCCTGATCTAAATTCATCCCATTAATGGCCGCTTCTGTGACAGTGTTGTGACCCCTGTAGCATGGCTTGAGATCTCTGACAAGTCATGACATATGAGTTCATCCAATCAATGGCTGCCTCTCCGTGGCGATGTCTCCAGGGTTGGATGCTGGTGGGGGTGAGGGAGCTGACTGGGGAGGCTTCAGCCTCTTGAAGGACAACCACAGCATCACCTGTGAAGCAAATGATGCACATGAATCACTTGTTACCCACAGGTTAACACTGATTTGTTTGTTTGTTTGCTTGTTGTGTAATGCCGCACTCGGCAATATTCAAGGTATATGACATCGGTCTGTAAACAACCGAGTCTGGACCTAACAATCCAGTGCTTGATGTCATGAACATTGATCGTACAGCAAGATCGGATGCAGGAAAATTGACAAAGGGATATGCTTTGTGAAAAAACATATGCAACAACTTAAATTTGTTCTCAGTAATTGAGTGGAAGTGAACAAACTTCGTACCAACAACATTTGAATGAAACTTTTTCCACAATAGTTACTACAGTAAACTACGGTTATATCAAACTGAAAGGGACCAATTTTTTTAATTTGTTATAACCATTGTTCATTACAAGCATATATAAAGCATATATAAAGCAAATGGCTGGGACAAAAAATAAATATTTAATATCCGTCAGTTTGTTATAAGCGTGTTTCGTTATGAACATAGTTTACTGTAGTCAGTTATATACCCTTTCTACGATGCTGTTTTCTGTAAAACATCTGTCATATACACCAGAAATATGGACTGTCAGGTTCATTTTCATTCCCAGTAGGGGACTTACTTAAGTACTTACCTGTGATATAAACAGTATAGCCACTAGCACCCCCACATTGAGGTACAGCATGGAGATGGTAGACCCCGCCCACAGCGGCGCCATGATGGTGCCAATACCCGTCACACTACGTCGTATACCCTGGCTCAAACCTAAACAAACACATGGATATATTCAAGCAAATATTTTTATTCAGAAATAATTCCTACAAATTAAAACAGTGAACTTAGTTGTTTTTACAAATCATTTGAATCATGACTGAGTTCAAAGGTCAATCTATGTAATCCAACCAACAGAGAACTAAACAATGAAAGCATATGACAATCTTCCATAGTCCAATCAAAATCGCATAATGAAATCAAGATCCATTTCACAAAGTGCAGTGCAGAGTTCGGTCAATTGCAGGATTTGCAAAGCATGTGTACATGTCTATGTTAATTAATCAGACATTACATCTAAAAACTGTAATTATTATATAAACAGTTATAAGTCTGAAAATGGGACTTTGCAGAAAATGAGCCCAAATGTTTGATGCCATGTATCTCTCAAATAAATATAAAACGAAGCTCGTGAATTGTATTTTTGGGTTCCTAAGAAACCGTAGTTTCAAAATATAATGAGAAGTCAAAATGTGATTTTTCACCTATAAGGTCCCTCATCTCCTGGTTGGTCATATATGGTGACACATATGTCATGTCAAACAAAAACCTGAAATAATCACAAATGGTTCTGTGAAAACATTATTTGCATGTACACTATGTCAACGTTTACATGTACATGTTTCCAAGTGAGTGAGTATGGTTTTAATCTTAATTTTAGCAATATCACGGTGGGGGACACCAGAAATGGGCTTCACACATTTTGCCCATGTGGGGAATTGAACCCGGGTCTTCAGCATGACAAGTGAACATTTCAACCACCAGGCTACTCCCATTGCCCCACATGTTTCCGAGTGGGGAAAAAGATCATTTAAGGGATCATTCCATTGTGGGTGGTTGGGATGGTGGGTGAGACAGTGGGTGAGACAGTGGGTGAGGTAGAGCGGGAGCGTGTCCAATTATTCACACTTCCATCTATTGTAGCGAAGACAACATACCCTGTGTTTCCTTGCGTGTGAGTTTAGAATACAGTGACACCCCACACACCAACAGGAAAGGCAGACCGGCCACATCTAGGATAGTGCCAGCAATAAAACCTGGTAACGTCCAGCCCGGGTTATCTGAAACATTCAGAGCACCAACATCAAGGATAGTGCCAGCAATAAAACCTGGTAACGTCCAGCCCGGGTTATCTGAAATATTTAGAGCACCAACATCAAGGATAGTGACAGCAATAAAACCTGGTAACGTCCAGCCTGGGTTATCTGAAACATTTAGAGCACCAACATCAAGGATAGTGCCAGCAATAAAACCTGGTAACGTCCAGCCTGGGTTATCTGAAACATTCAGAGCACCAACATCAAGGATAGTGCCAGCAATAAAACCTGGTAACGCCCAGCCCGGGTTATCTGAAATATTTAGAGCACCAACATCAAGGATAGTGACAGCAATAATCCTGGCAACATCCAGCCCCAGGTTATCTGAAACATTTAGAACACCAACATCAAGGATAGTGCCAGCAATAAAACCTGGTAACGCCCAGCCCGGGTTATCTGAAATATTTAGAGCACCAACATCAAGGATAGTGACAGCAATAATCCTGGCAACATCCAGCCCCAGGTTATCTGAAACATTTAGAACACCAACATCAAGGATAGTGCCAGCAATAAAACCTGGTAACGTCCAGCCCGGGTTATCTGAAACATTTAGAGCACCAACATCAAGGATAGTGCCAGCCATAAAACCTGGTAACGCCCAGCCCAGGTTATCTGAAATATTTAGAGCACCAACATCAAGGATAGTGCCAGCGATAAAACCTTGTAAAGCCTAGCCCTGGTTCTCGGATACATTTAGAGCAAAATACTTTCTGAAACGACCATCCCTCCTGCTGTATCACAATATGCAGGCATAATACTGTTGGTTGGAATTATTGGTACACATGACATATCAGGGCTAGGGATGTCTAAGACAGAGTTGTGTCCCTTAGCCGCCAGGTTCTGCTGACTGTGTTCAGCTCTCCCACCACATCATCACAACCACATTATTCTCTGTTGAGAATGTCTATGCTTTGTTATCATACCTCCATGTCAGAATGATGAGATCTGATTGGTCCACGTGATCTTGTTAAAAATACTGTGTAACTCACCTTTGAGGGTAATAAATTTATCCACGGGGAATAAATATCTCATACCCCGCCACAAGCACTACATGCTGCACATGCATTTCTGAGAGACAGAATAAATCCTTTATACCCCGCTTCAAGAAAAAGCTGCATGCGTTTTCCCCAAGCCAATGGATATCACGTGACATGGTGCAAGCTAACCTCAGCTGTTTTCTATCAATTTGGAATTTATCTGAACTATTTTACATGTATAAATATTTAAACATGTCAGTAAGATATATTTGTTGTAGCAGGATCACTCAGGGTACATGGGGTAATAGGCGTCATTCGTTTTATACCACTCGCCCCCGGCTGCTCGGGACACATAAAACCCCATGTACCCTGAGTGATCCTGCTACAACTTATATTGGACTTAAGGCTTTCCTCTCACATTTATCTGACAAGCCCCGATATAACAAACCCTTTTCAGCATCAAACAGCATCAAACTGACCTGACTCTCGACTGGCCGTAGTTTCACTGTCTTCAATGGCTACTCACCTGGGGTACAAGAAGGCAGGAAGTAGAGGTACCACACGTTGGCAGACGTCAGAATGAAGCCGCCTATCGCAATCAAATAACGATCTTCGATCTTTCGACTCAACCAGCTTGTCAGTACAAATATTAAGATGATCTGAAAAGTAAAATGTAATGGCTATGAAATAAATAAACTGAACTGAATCAGAATAGTACTGAAAAAAAGAATTCAAAAAAGAATTCAAAACCAAAACCAAAACACCAAAGGACACTGGTGAATAGTCCATTGAAACATGCTTGTATGTCAATTACATTCTTTGAAAATCCAGTTTCAAACATACAAAAAGTCCTTGCAGAAATGATTCTACGATAAGCCAGTTAGGGCGTGGGAGAGAATATACGCCCGCCCCACAGTACAGGAAGCCGTGGTTGGACACTCACCTCCACGCCCGCCCCACAGTGCAGGAAGCTGTTGCTTGACACTCACCTCCACGCCCGCCCCACAGTACAGGAAGCTGTTGCTTGACACTCACCTCCACGGCCGCCCCACAGTACAGGAAGCTGTTGCTTGACACTCACCTTCACGCCCGCCCCACAGTACAGGAAGCTGTTGCTTGACACTCACCTCCACGCCCGCCCCACAGTACAGGAAGCTGTTGCTTGACACTCACCTCCACGCCCGCCCCACAGTACAGGAAGCTGTTGCTGGACACTCACCTCCATGCCCACCCCACAGTACAGGAAGCTGTTGCTTGACACTCACCTCCACGCCCGCCCCACAGTACAGGAAGCTGTTGCTTGACACTCACCTCCACGCCCGCCCCACAGTACAGGAAGCTGTTGCTTGACACTCACCTCCACGCCCGCCCCACAGTACAGGAAGCTGTTGCTTGACACTCACCTCCACGCCCGCCCCACAGTACAGGAAGCTGTTGCTGGACACTCACCTCCACGCCCGCCCCACAGTACAGGAAGCTGTTGCTTGACACTCACCTCCACGCCCACCCCACAGTACAGGAAGCTGTTGCTTGACACTCACCTCCACGCCCGCCCCACAGTACAGGAAGCTGTTGCTTGACACTCACCTCCACGCCCGCCCCACAGTACAGGAAGCTGTTGCTTGACACTCACCTCCACGCCCGCCCCACAGTACAGGAAGCTGTTGCTTGACACTCACCTCCACGCCCCCCCCACAGTACAGGAAGCTGTTGCTGGACACTCACCTCCACGCCCACCCCACAGTACAGGAAGCTGTTGCTGGACACTCACCTCCACGCCCGCCCCACAGTACAGGAAGCTGTTGCTGGACACTCACCTCCACGCCCGCCCCACAGTACAGGAAGCTGTTGCTTGACACTCACCTTCACGCCCGCCCCACAGTACAGGAAGCTGTTGCTTGACACTCACCTTCACGCCCGCCCCACAGTACAGGAAGCTGTTGCCTGACACTCACCTTCACGCCCGCCCCACAGTACAGGAAGCTGTTGCTGGACACTCACCTCCACGCCCGCCCCACAGTACAGGAAGCTGTTGCTGGACACTCACCTCCACGCCCGCCCCACAGTACCGGAAGCTGTTGCTTGACACTCACCTCCACGCCCGCCCCACAGTACAGGAAGCTGTTGCCTGACACTCACCTCCACGCCCGCCCCACAGTACAGGAAGCTGTTGCTTGACACTCACCTCCACGCCCGCCCCACAGTACAGGAAGCTGTTGCTTGACACTCACCTCCACGCCCGCCCCACAGTACAGGAAGCTGTTGCTTGACACTCACCTTCACGCCCGCCCCACAGTACAGGAAGCTGTTGCTTGACACTCACCTCCACGCCCGCCCCACAGTACAGGAAGCTGTTGCTGGACACTCACCTCCACGCCCGCCCCACAGTACAGGAAGCTGTTGCTTGACACTCACCTCCACGCCCGCCCCACAGTACAGGAAGCTGTTGCTTGACACTCACCTCCACGCCCGCCCCACAGTACAGGAAGCTGTTGCTGGACACTCACCTCCACGCCCCCCCCACAGTACAGGAAGCTGTTGCTTGACACTCACCTCCATGCCCGCCCCACAGTACAGGAAGCTGTTGCTTGACACTCACCTCCACGCCCGCCCCACAGTACAGGAAGCTGTTGCTGGACACTCACCTTCACGCCCGCCCCACAGTACAGGAAGCTGTTGCTGGACACCCACCTCCACGCCCGCCCCACAGTACAGGAAGCTGTTGCTGGACACTCACCTCCACGCCCGCCCCACAGTACAGGAAGCTGTTGCTTGACACTCACCTCCACGCCCGCCCCACAGTACAGGAAGCTGTTGCCTGACACTCACCTCCACGCCCGCCCCACAGTACAGGAAGCTGTTGCTTGACACTCACCTCCACGCCCGCCCCACAGTACAGGAAGCTGTTGCTTGACACTCACCTCCACGCCCGCCCCACAGTACAGGAAGCTGTTGCTGGACACTCACCTCCACGCCCGCCCCACAGTACAGGAAGCTGTTGCCTGACACTCACCTCCACGCCCGCCCCACAGTACAGGAAGCTGTTGCTTGACACTCACCTCCACGCCCGCCCCACAGTACAGGAAGCTGTTGCTTGACACTCACCTCCACGGCCGCCCCACAGTACAGGAAGCTGTTGCTGGACACTCACCTCCATGCCCACCCCACAGTACAGGAAGCTGTTGCTTGACACTCACCTCCACGCCCGCCCCACAGTACAGGAAGCTGTTGCCTGACACTCACCTCCACGCCCGCCCCACAGTACAGGAAGCTGTTGCTTGACACTCACCTCCACGCCCGCCCCACAGTACAGGAAGCTGTTGCTTGACACTCACCTCCACGGCCGCCCCACAGTACAGGAAGCTGTTGCTGGACACTCACCTCCACGCCCGCCCCACAGTACAGGAAGCTTTTGCTTGACACTCACCTCCACGGCCGTCCTACAGTACAGGAAGCTGTTGCTTGACACTCACCTCCACGCCCGCCCCACAGTACAGGAAGCTGTTGCTTGACACTCACCTCCACGGCCACCCCACAGTACAGGAAGCTGTTGCTTGACACTCACCTCCACGCCCGCCCCACAGTACAGGAAGCTGTTGCTGGACACTCACCTCCATGCCCACCCCACAGTACAGGAAGCTGTTGCTGGACACTCACCTCCACGCCCGCCCCACAGTACAGGAAGCTGTTGCTTGACACTCACCTCCATGCCCACCCAACAGTACAGGAAGCTGTTGCTGGACACTCACCTCCACGACCCCCCCCCCCACCCCCCCCCCCCACAGTACAGGAAGCTGTTGCTGGACACTCACCTCCACGCCCGCCCCACAGTACAGGAAGGTGTTGCCTGACACTCACCTCCACGCCCGCCCCACAGTACAGGAAGCTGTTCTGAAGTTCATTCCAGTGCAGCAACTTGTCTGTCAACGGAGTTAACATAGTCTGAAATACACAAGGTAAATTAAGCATCTTGTAATAGTTGTATGCAAAGGAAAACATTGCATTCAGAATACAGGGATAACAGAGACTTATCTAGACCTAGTTCGAGCCCGATATTCATCCCCAAGTCTGCAGCAATTGTCTGGAATTCTAAAAATCTCAATCCATGTTTGCAAATTACAATGTAATATCTTGTGACTTGTATGCACCTGAGAACAGGACCAACAAAGAGGAAGTGGCCTAAACATTCAGTTTTACATTATTGCATTAAATGCAATGTTTAAATACTTTTGAATTTAAGAAGATAAATACTAAACAAAATAACAATTATTTCCTAATTAGCCTGCCAAGGGCTACTAGTTTGGAATCCTAGATAAATCCCTGTATAGTCAGAATGACATAATGAGCTCTTTGATTTGACAGGGCATGATATGAGAGAGCATGATATGGGGGGGGCACAATATGAGGGGCTGCAATTTGAGAGGTCACAATATGAGAGGGGATTTGAGGTCGCAATATGAGAGGTCGCGACTTGAGAGGGCTCGAGTTCAGAGGGCACGAGTTCAGAGGGCACAACATGCAGTAATGTTGAGAAGCAACTTACCTCTAGTGTCACCTGAGCAAATATAGTTATAAACTGTAATCCTAACAGTACAACTATTTCTTCTCGAATATATTCTGAAACAAAACATAAAATCAAATATCAGTCAATCAATCCTCTTGCTAGCACAATCAGGGCGAAATACTGAGTTATTTTTCAGAAGAACTTAAGAGGCACAGGTGGCCCAGTTGTCTAAGGTGCTGCAATTTGCTGTGCAGAGTTGCGTCCCTTTGGCATGCACGAAACCAGATAATGAGTTCGGATCCTGGTTCACCATGATAATGTTCCAAACCCATGCTATATTTGCAATGTTTGTCAAAATATTTTTGAAAGCATAGGCTGGAATGAAAGTCGCCAGTTTGAAACTAGTTCTGTAAACCTTGAGAAACCGGCTTTCTGATTGGCTAATGTTGACCCCCTTGTCGGTCATTTCATTGGCCGGCCCGTGAAGATCCGGGGTAGAATAGGTCTTCAGCAACCCATGCTTGCAGTAAAAGGCGACTATGCTTGTCGCAAGAGGCGACTAACATGGTCGGGTGGTCAGGCTCGCTGACTCGATTATTTACAGACCGTTGTCATAAAGCTGGAATATTGCTGAGTGCGGCGTTAAACAAGAAACAAACAAACATTTCATTGGCTGGTAAAAGTTCATGAAAGGTCGTAGCCATCACCAAGATCTGATTTAAATTAAATCGTGTCATGCCCCAACAGCATGGGTCATTGCTCATGCAAGCAACCATTTGTTTTGAGTAAAAACATTCACAGTCCATCCAACCAAACATGCAGAGATATTTCCCATTCGATTTTAAGTTATTTTATTTGCTTACCATCATATAAGAACTTAAGTCTTCCTTCGGTGAAAGGATCCTTCACATCGGAGACACTTTCTATTCTTGGCAACACTGAATGTTCCTTGGAATCTAAAAGTGCTTTTAGTTTTCTACTGCGACTGTTCTGTCGACTTGTTACTTTGCCCTTCTCACTGACCCCCGAAGAGTCACTTTGCATAAGTCTTTCTGCAGACTCAATAAGTTCAGAGGAATTTCCAATAGATACAGTGCCTAGCGATTCATCACCAACAGACCCGTAGCTTGCTACCGATATATCGGATATTGATGCGTTGCCAATAGAGCCATACATGTTTGGTGTCGCGGTGCTTGTACCTCCATTAGGAACACACTCAGTGCTCTGAATGGCTGTAGGGATAGCACTGGCGGGGGTGTTGCAAGTCAAGTCTGGGTACACATCGTCGTACGTGACGGTTTGAGGGGGAATCTCTGTGTACTGTTCCTCCTCTTCGTCTGACAGCGGTGTGTACGCTGTCTCCACTTGATTCATCACACGCATCTGCCGGAATATCACTCCCGGTTCCGAGAAGAGAAGCAGCAACAGCAGCTCCATGATCACCCACATAAAGGCCATAAGAAGCTGCAAAGGTGAAGATCATGGCTACAATAGGGTAGGAAGGTGAAGGTCAGGGCTACAGCAGGGTAGGAAGGTGGAGGTCAGGGCTAAAGCAGGGTAGGAAGGTGAAGGTCAGGGCTACAGCAGGGTACAAAGGTGAAGGTCAGGGCTACAGCAGGGTACGAAGGTGATGGTCAGGGCTAAAGCAGGGCAGAAGTTGAAGGTCAGGGCTACAGCAGGGTACAAAAGTGAAGGTCAGGGCTACAGCAGGGTACGAGATGAAGGTCAGGGCAAAAAAGTGAAGGTCAGGGCTACAGCAGGGTGTGAAGGTCTGGGCTACATCAGGGTGTGAAGGTCAGGGCACCATCAGGGTGTGAAAGTCAGGGCTACACCAGGGTGTGAAGGTCAGGGCTACAGCAGGGTGTGAAGGTCAGGGCTACAGCAGGGTGTGAAGGTCAGGGCTACACCAGGGTGTGAAGGTCAGGGCACCACCAGGGTGTGAAGGTCAGGGCTACACCAGGGTGTGAAGGTCAGGGCACCATCAGGGTGTGAAAGTCAGGGCTACACCAGGTAGTGAAGGTCAGGGCTACAGCAGGGTGTGAAGGTCAGGGCTACAGCAGGGTGTGAAGGTCAGGGATACAGCAGGGTGTGAAGGTCAGGGCTACAGCAGGGTGTGAAGGTCAGGGCTACAGCAGGGTGTGAAGGTCAGGGATACAGCAGGGTGTGAAGGTCAGGGCTACAGCAGGGTGTGAAGGTCAGGGCTACAGCAGGGTGTGAAGGTCAGGGATACACCAGGGTGTGAAGGTCAGGGCTACAGCAGGGTGTGAAGGTCAGGGCACCATCAGGGTGTGAAGGTCAGGGCTACACCAGGGTGTGAAGGTCGGGGCACCACCAAGGTGTGAAGGTCGGGGCACCACCAGGGTGTGAAGGTCAGGGCTACACCAGGGTGTGAAGGTCGGGGCACCACCAGGGTGTGAAGGTCAGGGCACCACCAGGGTGTGAAGGTCAGGGCTACACCAGGGTGTGAAGGTCAGGGCACCATCAGGGTGTGAAAGTCAGGGCTACACCAGGGTGTGAAGGTCGGGGCACCACCAGGGTGTGAAGGTCAGGGCTACACCAAGGTATGAAGGTCAGGGCTACACCAGGTTGTGAAGGTCAGGGCACCACCAGGGTGTGAAGGTCAGGGCACCACCAGGGTGTGAAGGTCAGGGCTACACCAGGGTGTGAAGGTTGGGGCACCACCAGGGTGGGAAGGTCGGGGCACCACCAGGGTGTGAAGGTCGGGGCACCACCAGGGTGTGAAGGTCAGGGCTACACCAGGGTGTGAAGGTTGGGGCACCACCAGGGTGTGAAGGTCAGGGCTACACCAGGGTGTGAAGGTCGGGGCACCACCAGGGTGTGAAGGTCGGGGCACCACCAGGGTGTGAAGGTCGGGGCAACACCAGGGTGTGAAGGTCGGGGCATCACCAGGGTGTGAAGGTCAGGGCACAAAAGTGAGAAGGTCGGGGCACCATCAGGGTGTGAAGGTCGGGGCATCAACAGGGTGTGAAGGTCAGGGCTACACCAGGGTGTGAAGGTCAGGGCTACACCAGGGTGTGAAGGTTGGGGCACCACCAGGGTGTGAAGGTCAGGGCTACACCAGGGTGTGAAGGTCGGGGCACCACCAGGGTGTGAAGGTCGGGGCACCACCAGGGTGTGAAGGTCAGGGCTACACCAGGGTGTGAAGGTCGGGGCACCACCAGGGTGTGAAGGTCAGGGCACCACCAGGGTGTGAAGGTCAGGGCTACACCAGGGTGTGAAGGTCAGGGCACCATCAGGGTGTGAAAGTCAGGGCTACACCAGGGTGTGAAGGTCGGGGCACCACCAGGGTGTGAAGGTCAGGGCTACACCAAGGTATGAAGGTCAGGGCTACACCAGGTTGTGAAGGTCAGGGCACCACCAGGGTGTGAAGGTCAGGGCACCACCAGGGTGTGAAGGTCAGGGCTACACCAGGGTGTGAAGGTCGGGGCACCACCAGGGTGGGAAGGTCGGGGCACCACCAGGGTGTGAAGGTCGGGGCACCACCAGGGTGTGAAGGTCAGGGCTACACCAGGGTGTGAAGGTTGGGGCACCACCAGGGTGTGAAGGTCAGGGCTACACCAGGGTGTGAAGGTCGGGGCACCACCAGGGTGTGAAGGTCGGGGCACCACCAGGGTGTGAAGGTCGGGGCAACACCAGGGTGTGAAGGTCGGGGCATCACCAGGGTGTGAAGGTCAGGGCACAAAAGTGAGAAGGTCGGGGCACCATCAGGGTGTGAAGGTCGGGGCATCAACAGGGTGTGAAGGTCAGGGCTACACCAGGGTGTGAAGGTCAGGGCTACACCAGGGTGTGAAGGTCAGGGCTACACCAGGGTGTGAAGGTCAGGGCTACACCAGGGTGTGAAGGTCAGGGCTACACCAGGGTGTGAAGGTCGGGGCACCACCAGGGTGTGAAGGTCGGGGCACCACCAGGGTGTGAAGGTCGGGGCAACACCAGGGTGTGAAGGTCGGGGCACCACCAGGGTGTGAAGGTCAGGGCACCACCAGGGTGTGAAGGTCAGGGCTACACCAGGGTGTGAAGGTCAGGGCACCATCAGGGTGTGAAAGTCAGGGCTACAGCAGGGTGTGAAGGTCGGGGCACCACCAGGGTGTGAAGGTCAGGGCTACACCAAGGTATGAAGGTCAGGGCTACACCAGGTTGTGAAGGTCAGGGCACCACCAGGGTGTGAAGGTCAGGGCACCACCAGGGTGTGAAGGTCAGGGCTACACCAGGGTGTGAAGGTCGGGGCACCACCAGGGTGGGAAGGTCGGGGCACCACCAGGGTGTGAAGGTCGGGGCACCACCAGGGTGTGAAGGTCAGGGCTACACCAGGGTGTGAAGGTTGGGGCACCACCAGGGTGTGAAGGTCAGGGCTACACCAGGGTGTGAAGGTCGGGGCACCACCAGGGTGTGAAGGTCGGGGCACCACCAGGGTGTGAAGGTCGGGGCAACACCAGGGTGTGAAGGTCGGGGCATCACCAGGGTGTGAAGGTCAGGGCACAAAAGTGAGAAGGTCGGGGCACCATCAGGGTGTGAAGGTCGGGGCATCAACAGGGTGTGAAGGTCAGGGCTACACCAGGGTGTGAAGGTCAGGGCTACACCAGGGTGTGAAGGTTGGGGCACCACCAGGGTGTGAAGGTCAGGGCTACACCAGGGTGTGAAGGTCGGGGCACCACCAGGGTGTGAAGGTCGGGGCACCACCAGGGTGTGAAGGTCGGGGCAACACCAGGGTGTGAAGGTCGGGGCATCACCAGGGTGTGAAGGTCAGGGCACAAAAGTGAGAAGGTCGGGGCACCATCAGGGTGTGAAGGTCGGGGCATCAACAGGGTGTGAAGGTCAGGGCTACACCAGGGTGTGAAGGTCGGGGCACCACCAGGGTGTGAAGGTCGGGGCACCACCAGGGTGTGAAGGTCGGGGCAACACCAGGGTGTGAAGGTCTGGGCACCACCAGGGTGTGAAGGTCGGGGCATCACCAGGGTGTGAAGATCAGGGCACAAAAGTGAGAAGGTCGGGGCAACACCAGGGTGTGAAGGTCGGGGCACCACCAGGGTGTGAAGGTCGGGGCACCACCTGGGTTGTGAAGGTCGGGGCATCAACAGGATGTGAAGGTCGGGGCAACACCAGGGTGTGAAGGTCGGGGCATCACCAGGGTGTGTAGGTCGGGGCACCACCAGGGTTGTGAAGGTCGGGGCATCAACAGGGAGTGAAGGTCAGGGGACAAAAGTGAAGGTCAGGGCACCACCAGGGTGTGAAGGTCAGGGCACCATCAGGGTGTGTAGGTTGGGGCACCACCAGGGTGTGAAGGTCAGGGCACCACCAGGGTGTGTAGGTCAGGGCTACACCAGGGTGTGAAGGTCAGGGCACCACCATGGTGTGAAGGTCAGGGCACAAAAGTGAAGATTAGGGAAAGATAGCATAAGAAGGTGAATGTCACTGCCATAACAGATATTAAGATCACAGCCAAAACACAGCATGAAAGTCAAATTCAAATCTATAAAAGGGTAAGGGGTGATGTGAAAACTCTCGGGAGTTTGAATTTCAGGTCACCGAAATTACCTCTCTCCCTCTTGGATAGCTTGATGAAGCATCTTATGTCTTAAGGAATTGATTGTGTGAATATTTTACATCCTCTTCGGATACTAATATCATTTCGAATATAACATAAAATGGATAAAGTCAAGGAGAGTTCTTATTCCCCAGTGGGGTACACATAGCTAATACTCTGCAAGGAATATCATCCAAAACACCAAGCTCTCTTCGTAGGTCAAACACCTCAAGGTCACATTATGAAACAGTAGGTGTATTGGCCGAAACACCTCAAGGTCACATTATGAAACCGTAGATGTACTGGATGATAAACCACACATGGGTATAACTCATCACATCACTTTTACCAAGTACCCGGGATGTGTAGGAGGGAATTTGAATGTCTCTCCAGTTGTTGAGGTGATACTGAAACCTGCTTTCATTTCACTTAATTAAAGTATGACCTACCCCTGGTGATGAAAACCTGTCCACTGGGAATGGTCCAATGTAGAAGTCTACCAGTGACAGGAAGAAGTTGAAGCCAGGGCCTGTAAACAATGCAAGTAAACTCAGTGGCATGGATGTATCTTGTTACATGTTTATCTGAGAAATAAACAACGGGTGGGTGTTGTTTATAGTACCATAAAACACTGATTGGTTTATTCTCCCTGCAGTGTTTTATTGTACCATAAACAACAACCAAAAGTTGTTTATTTCTTATATGTACAGCTTTTTTTAGGATGTCGTTTCTATGTTCG